GGCTAGGGTGCTGATCAACTGAACGCTGTCTCTGTGTCATTCCTTCTTCACCGACTCTGTCCACACCTTTGGGGACCCCTGGACCTGCTGGGGTTGGACCCCAACATGTGAACACATACATAGCATTTCTACTCTAGGCACACATTTAAACACATTCACTCATCTAACCCTTATGACAATCCCTGGAAGGAAGTAGGACTATTATGTTCTCCATCTTACAGATGAGGGGCCTGGGACGCTGGGAGGTTACCTAACTTGTCCAAGATCACAGAGCTAGTGAGCAGGAGCTGGGAGTCAAACCCACACTGTGTGGGTCCAGGATCCGTGCTCTCAGTGACCACTCCAGACTGGGACAGCGGATGGGGGAATGGGCAGTTGGCTGCCTATGGTGGTCCCAGCATGGATGCCCACAGGTGGCCTGAGCTCCCAGTGATCATGGGTCTGGGTTAGCCTGGAATTTGGGAGCTTTTCATTCCCTTTGTCTTTGTAATCATTTCCCCATGGGAAGGGCTCGTGTGAGGTGGTGGGCCTAGCGGCAGGGAGATGGACACAGCACACTCTCCCAGCTCCCCTCTGCAGCCAGCCGAACGCAAGTTTTAAGCAGACCACATACTTACATTGAACAAACCTGGATGCAAGAACGCTCTGGTAAGTCTGTGGGCATGAGGAAGAAGACAGACCTTCTGGGAGTTTAACTAAGAAATAAAAAAAATTGGGAGGGGGGAAAAGTTTCATTTTATAAAAGCAAGTAGACGGTATCTAAGCATCATGATCAGAGCAATGGCTTGTCTTCCGCAGCAGCAGCAGCAGCAGCACCTTTAGCATCAGGGCGAGACCAGGCAGTGCAGCCAGCTCAGGGTCGTTCAGCCCCATGTTCTCACTGGGCCTTTTCCCACCATTTCCTCCCTGAACTCTAAACTCGTTGCTGGCTCCTTGTTTGTCTCTATGTTCTAAGAACCAAGCCTAGTGTCAGGTATCTAGGAAATGTATTTAGCAAATAAATTAACTAAGACAGTTCCAGGAGACAACAGTGCCCTGACATCCAGAATATTCACGAACCCCATATCAATGCTTTGTTTTTATTTTATTTTTTAATATTTTTATTGATTTCAGAGAGGAACAGAGAGGGAGAGGGAGAGAGAAATATCAATGATGAGAGAGTATCATTGATCGGCTGCCGCCTGCATGCCCCACACTGGGGATCAAGCTTGCAACCTGGACATGTGCCCTTACCGGGAATCAAACCATGACCTCCTGGTTCATAGGTTGATGCTCAACCACTGAGCCACACTGGCTGAGCTCAATGCTTTAAACTGTTATAAAAACTGGGAAACGTGAGTTGGTGTGAGATTCATCTCAACTCATTGACACCTCCTACTTCCTTCTCAATGTACTAAAGTTTAACTGTTAACTTAAAGCTACTGTGTGCTTCCAATGCCCACATAGTAGGTAGAAGAAGAGAAAGTAAAGGAGATGTCACAGTGCGGACTATGAAGGTAAAATCTTCACCCATTTGTATCTTCTTGCTGTTAATCCCACAGAGGATATTTTTCCATTGATATTTAGAGAGAGTGGAAGGGAGGAGTAGAGACACAGAGAGAGAAACATTGGTTGTCTCCAGCACACACCCTTACCAGAGCCGGGGATCAAGCCTGCCACCAAGATATGGGCCCTTGATCAAAATCGAACCTGGGACCCGTCAGTCTGCAGGCTGACGCTCTATCCACTGAGCCAAGCTGGCTAAGGCCAGGCTTTTTCTTTTTTTAAAAGTAACCAGGATCCCTGGGGAATATAAAATAATAATATAGCACTATTCTGTTTAAGTAAAATTGTTCTGCATAAAATGTGATTTCCATGGCAGCACGTGGAGTACTTACATAGGGGCAAAGGAAAGCACTGTGATGAGCCAGTCAAATTGCATGGCAACTGTTAAAGTACTGACTTGAAGAACACTATCTATTGTCTTTAAAACAATCCTGTGAGCCCGGCTGGCGTGGCTCAGTGGTTGAGCATCGACCTATGAACCAGGAGGTCACGGTTCGATTCCCCGGTCAGGGCACATGCCTGGGTTGCAGGCTTGATCCCCAGTGCGGGGTGTGCAGGAGGCAGCCGATCCATGATTCTCTCTCATCATTGATGTTTCTGTCTCTCTCTCTCCCTCTCCCTTCCTCTCTGACATCAATAAAAATATTTAAAAATAAATAAATTAAATAAATAAAACAATCCTGTGACATCCCAGGTGGTTTGGCTCAATGGCTAGAACATCAGCTTGCAGACTGAAGGATCCCAGGTTCAATTCCTGATCAAGTGCACATGCCTGGGTTGTAAGCTCAGTCCCCAGTAAGGGGCATGCAGGAGGCAGCCGATCCGATTCTCTCTCATCATTGATGTTTCTCTCTCTCTCTCTCTCTCTCTCTCTGCAGGAGGCAGCCGATCCGATTCTCTCTCATCATTGATGTTTCTCTCTCTCTCTCTCTCCCCCTCCCTCCCTCCCTCCCTCCCTCCCTATCTCCCTCCCTGTCTCCTTCTCTCCCTCTCCCTTCCTTCCTCTCTTTGAAATAAATTTTTTTTAAAATATTTTTTTTTAAATCCTGTGACAACTTCAGGGAATGATGTTTCAGGATATGGGTGTATATCAGATCCTTTGCTTTAAAAATGTTCTGGACTGGTCCAAATAGCCAAAAACAACATAATCACTAAGAAATAACTATATTGTACTTGCTAAGGCATACTTAAATGTTATAAATTGAATTTTTAAAGAATACTATAAGATGTATGCTTCATTCCTCAAAAAATTAAAAGAGACATTACCATATGATCCAGCCATTCCACTTCTGGGGATATAGTCAAAAGAACTGAAAGCAGGAACTTGAAGCGATATTTGCACACCCATGTTCACAGCTGTGTTATTCACAATAGCCAAGAGGTGGAAGCAACCCAGTGTCCATTGTCGGTTAAATGGATAAACAAAATGCACTATATGCATACAACGGAATATTGCTCAGCCTTAAGAAGGAAGAAAATTCTGACACATGCCACAACAGCGATGACCCTTGAAAACATTACACTAAGTGAAACAAGCCAGTCACAAAAAGGCAATAGCTGTGTGATTCCACTTACATCTGGTACCTAGAGCAATCACACTCATAGAAACTGGCAGTGAATGTGGAGTGGGGAGTTCCTGTTTAAACAACAGTATAGAGTTTCAGTTTTGCCTAATTAAAAAGATCTGGAGCTTGGTTGTACAACAAAGTCAATGTACTTAACACTCCTAGACTGTATGCTTAAAAATGGTTAAGATGGTGGGTTTATGGAAATGAACCTGCCACCTCAGCATGTGCCCTGATCGGGAATCGAACCTGCAACCTTTCGGTGCAGGGGATGATGCTCAACCAACGGAGCCACACTGGCCAGGACATACAGTTGAAGGTTTTATTAAATAAAGGCATTTACTAGTTAAAAATGAAAAGCGGCCTATTTCTGAATCACCTCCGATAGATAACACAGATGAATGGTAAGCCAGCAAAGTCTGGTCCGGACTGATGTACAGGTCTTAGAAAATGAGTTTCTATCTCATCAAGGGCCTGTGTTCCATTACAACTCCAGTCACTTCCAAAAACATAGCCAGCCACGAAATACCTCAACCCCTTCTCTCCTCACATACACCACAGTGACATGCAGTGGGGCCCTGGGTCACATCCCCAGACAACAAAGCCATGGAACACTTTGCCTTCCCCCCAACTTCCCTACTTAACCCTCCTCTCCAAATAAACTCAACTCACCCTGCCTTTGTTCTTTAGGCGGCTCTTTCCCCGTGAAGTTTTCTTGCAATTTCCTCCGGATGTCTTCTAGGTCATGTAGAATGTCTCTCATTTTGTCCTCAGCTGTGTTGGAAGTCGCTAGCTTTGGAGAAATCAAGGAATGGTCCACCCCACCAGAAAAAGCCTATTGATAAAGCATTAAAAAAAGAAAAGAGAAGAAGCAGCCAGGTAGGTAGCTTGGTGTAAAAAAAAAAAAAAAAGAAAGAAAAAGATTTAAAAAAAGAAGAGAAAGTCCCCCAGGAATGCATCAAATAGTATACTCCAGTGTTGCAACCCATCTATAATTTTCCACTTACCTCCTAACGAGTTTTTAAAACATAATTAGGCCCTCAAATACACACTTTGAAAATAATCTGGAGTAATACATAGTACAGCAGAAATATTAAAGAGTGGGGGGGCGGGTGATGGATGATTTTCACTTACTTTCTTTAAACGGCTATGTATTTTCTCGTCCTTTTGTACAATAAATATCAATTTCTTAAGTAATACTAAAACAAGTCAAAAGTTGTTAGGCCCATATAATTTACAAAGTAAATAATATAGATAGCCACTGAGCTAAGCCACAAAGGCTAGACTCATCTTCCCCAGACTGCTATCATGATCGCATATACCTTCTCACCCAGGCCCCGCTCTCTGGGGCCTCCAACACGTGCTCACGGATTTTCTTGCACTTCAGGTCCTATGAGTCCCCAACACAGCCTCCCATCCGCTACTTCCCACCTACAGCACCAGCACCGGACTTTCCTTCCCAACTTTGCATAAGCCACCGCCTACTTTTTTCACCACTTACTGAGTTCCTTCCACTGCTCACCTCGAATTTGCATAACAACCTTCCAAGGTGGATTTATTATCCCCATTTTGCCAAAGAAGAAGCTAACGTTCATGAAGTTTAGCTAAAACTTGCCATAGTTCATTGTTATTGCCCTACATTTTCTCATTGCTAAGCTCTTTTTTTATACACCATCCCTTTCAATCCCATCAAAATAATGAGGCTGCAGGCCTCATTATTCCTACTTTACAGGTAGAAACCTGAGATTCAGAGAGATGAAATGACTTGCCCCAGCTCATAATACTAATGTTATATCCCTAAAGTCCCACATATTCACCCATTCAGTGGGATACAAGGGTGAACAAAAGAACAAAAGCCCTCAAGGTCTCCACCCTCATGACGCTTAGAGTCCAGGGCCAGAGAAGAGGGGGGGCAGACATGAGTAAATTGTGGCTGTGCTAATGGCTGCCCATGGAAGTTACATGGAGTCATGAGAGCGAGCGCCTCTAATAGGGGGATGTGACCTGTTCAAGGAAAGCAGTGAAGGATTTTCCAGGACAGTGATGAACTCCTTGGGGTCTGAAGGATGAGCAGGCATTTCCTAGGTGACAGGGAGTGCACCCTGTGGTGGGGAAAGTGTGACAACACCCTGGAGGGACAGACGTGGGCCAGCGTGGCCGGGACCTGAAGAGCCAGGAAGAGCTGGGTGAAATGAGATGGGAGAGGAGGCAGGGACAGAATCCTACGGGCTCTTGTTGGCTCTGTGAGGATGAATCCTGCACAACAGATGCCATTGGAGTGTTTTAAGCGTTTGAGTTACATGATCAGATCTGCATTTGAGAGGGTCACTCTGATGACCCCGAGGACAGCAGACTAGAGGGGGTAGAGTGGAGCAATTAGGAGGCTACTGGAGAAATCCAGGCAAGACGTGATCATAAGCTTGGATTAGAGAAGTCTCAAGGGAGCTCAGGAGTAGTAAATAGAGCCCGGCCAGGGTGATTCAGTAGTTGAGCGTTGACCTGTGAACCAGGAGGTCATGGTTCGATTCCCGGTCAGGGCATATGCCCAGGTTGTGGGCTCCATCCCTAGTGTAGGGTGTGCAGGAGGCAGCCAATCAATGATTCCCTCTCATCATTGATGTTTCTGTCTCTCTCTCTCCCTCTCCTTTCCTCTCTGAAATACATAAAAATATATTTGAAAAAATTAAAAAAGAAAAGAGTAGTAAACAGATTCGAGAGATGTTTTGGCAGGTGAGGGAGGGGGTGCATGATTCTCAGGTTTCTGGCTTGTGCCCCTGGAAGAATAACGAGCAGTCAGATGGGGAATTCCCCCTGAGGAACAGTTTGGGACATGTTAGGTGTCATGTGCCTTTGTGACACTAAGAGGCGACTATGAGAAGGAAGACACCAGCCTAGAGCTCAGAGAAGTGGCCGGGCTGGAGCTGTTTGTGCTAATTAAAGCCATGGGTGTGGGGAAGAGAAAGGGACCCACGGATGAGCCTTGAGGAATCCCGTTTCACTGCTAAGCAGAGAGAGTGAGCCTGCAAAACAGACTGGAAAGGAGCAGCCAGAGAGAAACGGGAAGGCTCGTGGGCAGAAGCTGAGGAAAAGGAAAGCTTCAAGGACGAAGGTGTGGTCACCCGTGCCAAAGGCCATTGAAGGCGTGGCTCAGTGTTGAGCATCGACTTATGTGCCTGGAGATCACAGTTCGATTCCCGGTCAGGGCACATGCCGGTGTTGCAGGCGCAATCCTCAGTGTGGGGCGTGCAGGAGGCAGCTGATCAATGTCCTTTCTCATCATTGATGTTTCTATTTCTCTCTCCTCCCTTTCCCTCTGAAATCAATAAAAATATAGTAATTTAAAAAATAAAAAATAAAAAGATGAGGACTAGAATGTCTGCAGGATTTACGTAGAGGCCACTGGTGATCTTAGAGCTGGTTAGGTGGAGTGAACAGGATGGAACCTAGGCCTCTTGAAGCTTCCCTATCAAACCTCCAGGCCTCCCTGTTTGGTAGTCCAGCGAAGGGGAAAAGGCAGGGCCTTACTGCATCCTTCAGCTGCAAACACGTTCATGCTGCCCCAGGTGGGAGCTGTCCCCGCCCCTCTCTCCTGCCACACCCTTTCCTCTCCACGCTTGAGCCTACCATGCCCAGGACGTTCAGTTTGTTCTCCGGCCCAGATTCTGGGAGCTGCCTCTGCTTCTGAAGGCTCCTGACGATGTCTACAAGCCGTTCCACCAGCTCTGCCAGCTCCCGACCAGCTTCTGGGATGCTCTTCGGTGCCGCCGCCTTTAAAAGAGCAAAGCAGAACCCAAAGCTGGACCCAGGAATCAGCTCTACATAGAGTGTGCAGCCTGGATACAGGAACAGGCAAGGACATGACGGAAACATTCAGAGGACAAGAAGGGAGGCTCCCCAGACCTTTTGCAAGCCCTTTTCCCTTACTGATCGTCCTGTGGCCATAAGAGGAAAGCGGAGTCCATCCGTGGGATGGAGGGGGAGGGGGAATGGGAGTAAAGCGTGAAGGGAAGCCTAGGGCCATTATGAACAGGGGAAGTCAGAGAAGACATGGGTGTGAACCTGGCAGGGACGGTGGCAGCTGACAGAGTGAGTGGTGCAGTGGAAGGCATGTGGCTCAGGCTCAAGCTGCACTCTTGCCTCTGATTCATCCTATGTCCTGACCAGGCTTTTCAGAAACGAAAGTGACATCCCTCCTTCTCTCCCATCGGGAAAAAGATCTACCTAGCTGTTCGCTGTGAAAGGATCTTGGAGACTTTAGTGATGTACAGATGAAAGCTTTTTTGTTTGTTTATTGGCATCTTTAACATTACAAAATACATTCCACCCGGCCAGCGTGGCTCAGTGGTTAAGTGTTGACCTATGAACCGGGAGGTCACGGTTTGATTCCAGGTCAGGACACATCCCCGGGTTGCTGGCTCGGTCCCCAGTGTGGGGCGTGACGTAGGCAACCGATCAATGATTCTCTCTCATCACTGACATTTCTATTTCTCTCTCCCTCTCACTTCCTCTCTGAAAACAATCAAATTAAATATTTTTTAAAAACATCCAGAAGAGAGTGCTAAACAACTCCACTTAAAGAGCTTAGTCTGCTCAGCCGCCCAGCTGGGAGTGGGAGTAAGCTTTGCAGCCAACATATTTTGGCAACAACCTCACGATCTGATGACAGTCAACAGAGGCAGCCTGGGCACAGACCACAATGGAGAACTCCGCATCCCCTCCAAAAGGGGTGGTTCTACATAGAGTCACAGAAATGTAAGGCGTTCGTCACTCCACTGTGAATCAACCAGAGTTTTTTATAACTTTGTTTTGACATTTGTCATATTTTAAATTTTGCTGGAGCCTCAAAAACTGGGATTGACCCAGGGCCTTTTTCATCTCTTAAATAGCCCTGATGTCTCTCAAAATAGCATGTGTTTTGGCAGTTGTCAGCAGGCTACTTTAGAGAGGGGGGTGACTGACCCCTGCTAACACTGTTTGCTCTTAAAGGTCCAGGCCCCACTCCTAAATATTCAAGCAGCAGGAACTCTTGTAGAGGAAATCTTATCCAGGCACCTGAGCAAATTAAAGACTTTAAAAAATACATGCATTGCTTTTTCTATCCATAAGAGAAATACACACTTATTGTGGCTAATTTAAAAAATGCAGAGAATGAAAAAGAAGAAATGTTTTAAATCATCTAATATCCTACCATCCAAAGATAATCATTTTAATTTAAAAGCCAATGGAAAGGATATTCAATCACTATAAACTATATTAACAAAGAGTTTTAAGAAGCTGTTAGATAATGCTGTATTTATCATCTAAAATAGAGAACAGTCTTTATTCATAATTGGGGAAAAATGGAAGCAACCTATATGTCCATCAAAAGGTGAATGGATAAACTGTGGTATATCTATGCAATGAAATATTATTGAGCAATAACAAAAAATGAGCTATCAAGCCACAAACCTTCATTTTGCTTTGTGAAAGAAGCCAGTCTGAAAAGGCTAGATACTGTATGATTCCAACTATATGACATTCTGGAAAAGGCAAAGAGATGGTCAAAAGATCAGTAGCTGCCAGAGACTGGCTCGGGGATACACACAGGAGCAGCATGGGGATGTTCCGGGCAGTAACACTGCATGGTAACCAAAACTGTAGACCCATGACCTGAGACATTTATCAAAAGCCACTGAACTGCACAACACGAAGAGTGAACCCTGATGTAAACTGTGGACTTTAGTAAACAACAGTGTATTAATATTGGTTCATCAATTGTGACAAATGTACCACATTAATGCAAATTGTCAATAACTGCAGAAACTGTGAGGGGTGCACAGGAACTTCCTGTACTATCTGCTCAATTTCCTGTAAACCTAGAACTGCTCTAAAAAATAATGTCTATTAATTCATTAAAAAAAAAAAAAAAGACATACCCTGGTTATACAACAAGACCTCAGCTCTGTTTAAAAGGACTCAAGAGCCCTGACCGGTTTGGCTCAGTGGATAGAGCGTCGGCCTGCGAACTCAAGGGTCCCAGGTTCGATTCCTGTCAAGGGCATGTACCTTGGTTGTGGGCACATACCCAGTAGGGAGTGTGCAGGAGGCAGCTGATCGATGTTTCTCTCTCATCGATGTTTCTAACTCTCTCTCTCCCTTCCTCTCTGTAAGAAATCAATAAAATATATTTAAAAATAAAAATAAAAAAATAAATAAATAAAAGGACTCAAGAGAACAACAAAAGGGTGGCGTGGGCAGCTCCAAGCTCTCACCCCAGCCCCCGCACAGAAACATCGAAAAACAAGCAGAAACTGTCACTACTCTGGAAAACACTGTTTCTAAGAAGAGCAACCGGGCATAGCTCAGTGGTTGAGCGTTTAACCTATGAACCAGGAAGTCCTGGTTCGATTCCTGGGTTGCTGGCCCTATCCCCATTGGGGTGTATACAGGAGGCAGCCAATCAGTGATTCTCTCCCATCATTGATGTTTCTATCTCTCTCTTCCTCTCTAAAATCAATTTTTAAAAATATTTTTTTTAAAAAAAAGAAAAGAAAGAAAAAGAGCAACCTGGCAGTAGAAAAGCACTGTGGTGTTTTTACTTGTCCTTGCCCCACTCCCCGCTGGCTCAGTAGCATAACCAAGATTCCTCGCACGGGGCTCTGGCCCTGTTCTGTAAGAGCAGCACACACCTGATTCACAAACTGTCGTGTACGTCTGTTCTAACCGGGCTGCCAGCTGCCCCAAGGAGTGGCTTAGGGTACTCATCTTTGTTTCACCTGACTCGGAGCTCAGGCCGAAAAAGCAGATGCTGCAAGCTGAACTACAACATGCCAATGTCTAGGGCAAAAGATTATGGTGGAAACACCTAAGTGCCAGAAGCAAAAGCTGGAGGAACCGGACCCCTCCTACTTTGAAAATAGATACTTATACACCAACGTTCACTACAACATCACTTACAGTAGCCAAACGGTGGAAACAATCCAGATGCGCATGGATGGATGAACGGATTTTTTAAAATGTGGCATATACATACAAGGGAATGATGAAAGGAATGAAGTCTGGGCACATGGTACAACATGAACAAACCCTGAAAACATTATGGTAAGGGAAGGACGCTAGACACAAAGGGACAGATACTGTAGGGTCCCATTTATATGAAATATCTCGAGTAGGCAAAATCACGGAGACAGTAGGCAGGTTAGAGGGGACCAGAGGCTGGAGCGGGGAGCGAATGAGAAGTTAATGCTTGGTGAGCACAGAGCTTCTGTGTGTGGTGATGAAAAGGTTCTGGAAATAGCGGTGATGGTTGCACAACATTGTAAAAACAACTAAAGCCCCTAAGTTATACCCTTAAAAATGGTTAACCTGGCAAATTTCGTATATACAAAAACATTATTAGAGAGACAGATGTGGAAAGACTGGAAAGAAGCGGAACTCTATGCCAAGAAGTACAGTGGGGCCTTGACTTACGTGTGTCCCGACTAACGAGTTTTTCCGAGATAGAGCCCTCTCTCGGCCGATTTTTTGCTTTGAGTTGACAGAGTAATTTGAGTTAACGAGCTCCTTAACGAGCTCCGTCACGGAACGAATTAAACTCGTAAGTCAAGGCCCCACTGTATAGCAGCGAGGTTGAAAGGATTTCAGATTTGAATTATTTTTTCTGCTTCTTCATATTTTTCTAAAACTTTCCAAAGAGCAGGTTCTACTTTTAAATGGAGAAAAGTAAACTGAAAGCAGAAAGGATGCGGGAGGAAGCGCCATGGAGAGCGGGCTGGTTGGAAGCCAGGTTCCCGCCACCCTAC